TTTTTTTTTTTTTTTTTTGCAGCTCTGGGAACTGAATTCAGGACCTTGCATTTGTGAGGCAGGCGCTGCATCACTGAGCTGAGCTAAATCCCTGGCCCTAAATATACCTTTTCTTATTGTAGTTGTCAATAATTTTAGCTCCCTTATCACATTCTGTCGCATAGTTACTGGTAACAATACCAACTCTTACGCAGAGTCAAAGATAGGATGAAAATAAAAATTATACATAAAATGAAAGTATAATCTTCAAAAATTTAGAAGTTAGCTGGGCATGATGGCACATACCTGTAATCCTGGCACCCAGGAGACTGAGGCAGGAGGATTCTGAGTCCAAGGCCAGCTTTCACTACAAAAGGAGACCCTGGCCCCTTCAAAAAAAATCAATGAAAATCTACAAGGTATGATAATTGGGTCTCAGACCAATGTTTTTCCTTAAATGGAATTTGTCTAAAGGGCCCCAACTTCCTTATCATTATTCTCTTAAGTAACCAACTGGAGAAGCATTAGATGGAAAGCAGACTGAATATAACCATCAAAACTTACTCCAGGGCTGGGGATTTAGCTCAGTGGTGCCCCGCCTGCCTCACAAGTGCAAGGTCCTGAGTTCAATCCCAGGTACCCAAAAAAACTCACTCCATGATATCACGTATTGATGGTTAACTTCTGAAGACCACTTTCTCCAATTCTTCACTGTTTTTGTACATGTGATAAAATACAGAAAATATATCTTAATTATAGGGTTTATAATTAAGTCCTACTTGTTCATAAATACTATATAGCTACATGTATATATGCAAATATCTGCGAACATAAACACACACACACACACACGGATATCTTTTCAACAAGGGGGGGTTCTGGAATGATTTTCACACAGGAAGAAAAAGGGACTGATGCATGAAGAAAGCAAGCCAGCAGATGACAAGAGGCAGCTTCTACACCCCGTGTCGCCCCTCCCCAGAAGCTGTAGGAAGTGGGAAACTGCAGAATGTACCTTCCAGGCGAGAAGCAAAACATTGAGGATGGCCAGCAAAGGGCAGGGCCCGTTCTCGTTCTGGGTGATGATGGGTGTGTTCTCTTCCTTCCACTGGATCCATTTGATGTGATACACAGACTGCCCCGGGAAGCGCTCCTTGGCGGCCGCGGGCCCCGGAGCGGCGTCGTCCTCCTCTTCCAGGCGGCACAGAGGCGCAGTCCCGGC